AGGACTAAAGCGGGATACGTGCAGGAAAGGGAAAAAAAAACAGGGATAGTGCAGGCTGGTTGCAGGTGGGTGGGGGGGTGCTGGTTGCAATGGGCCGGGGGGGGGGTCTGGTTGCAGCGGGTCGGGGGGAAGCGAGGGGTAGGTATATTGTTTTTTTTTTTTTTTAATTTCGGCGCACATGCCGCAGTGCGCACACAGCGCACGGCGCACGGCGCACAGCGCACAGTGCATTGTCTGCTGATCCGGCGCACAACGCACCAACGCGCACAGCGCAGCGCACACGTGCGCCGCAAGTATGATCAAGATCCTATCGAATCAATCGATTCAACGGGATCTTCGATTGATTGATTAAGCGAACCCAAAAAAAAAAAGAAAAAAAATTGGGCGAGTAAGAGGCTGTTATCGAATCGGCGATGATAAGGAGGAGAAGGACAAGTAGGGGGATACGGACTGGCGGGACGAGGAGGAAGAAGAAGAAGCGGTGGAGGATGAGGCCGTGGCAATGGAGAAGGACAAAGAGGAGGACAAAGACGAAGAAGGAGGAGGAGGAGGCGGAGGCCCCGACGATGGAGGAGGACGAGGAGGAGGAGGAGGACGACGTCGACGAAGAAGAAGAAGAAAAAGAGGGCGAGGAGGAGAACAAGGAGTAAGAGGAGAAGGACGACGAGGAGTATGAGGATGGCGAAGAAAAAGGAGGAGGAAGAAGAGGTGGAGGAAGAGGAGACCACAGCGACGGAGGAGGAGGAGGGAGAGGAGGAAGAAGAAGATGAAGAGGAGGAGGATAAGGAGGACGAAGAAGAAGAGGAGGATGAGGAGGAGGAGGAGAACGACGACAAGCAGAAGGAGAAGAAGGACGGCGAAGAAGAAGAGGAGTACGATAGGGACGAGGAGAAGGAGGAGGCCATGGCGATGGATGAGGTTGAGGAAGAGAACTTAGGGTGAAGAAGAAGAAGAGGAGGAGGAGGAGGAAGTAGAAGAGGAGGAGGAGGAGGAGGAAGTAGACGAGGAGGAGGAGGACGACGAGGAGTAGGAAGAGGAGGAGGAAGAAGAGGAGGAGGAGGAGGAGGAGGAGGAGGAGAAACAGGAGGAGGAGAAGGAGGAGGAGGAGGAGGAGGGGGAGGAGGAGGAGGAAGAAGAAGAGGAGGAGGAAGAACAGGAGGAGGAAGAAGAGGAGGAGATGGAGGAGGAGGAGATGGAGGAGGAGGAGGACGATGACGAGGATAAGGAAGAAGAAGAGGAGGAGGAGGAGGAGGACGACGAGGAGGAGGAGGAGAAAGAAGAAGAGGAGGAGGAGGAGGAGGAAGAGGAGAAGGAAGAGGAGGAAGAAAAGGAGGAGAAAGAAGATGCGGACGAAGAAGAGGAAGGCCCGACGATGGAGGAGGAGGTGGAGGAGGAGGAGGCGACGACGACGGAGGAGGAGGAAGAAGAAGAGGAGGAGGAGGAGAAGAAGGAGGACGAGGAGGKGGAGGAGGAGAAGGAGGACGAAGGCAACCAGGAGGACGAGGAGGAAAAGGAAAAGGAGGAGGACGAGGAGAGGAGAAGCGGAAGGAGGAGGAGGAGGAGGAGGAGAGGGAGAAGGAGGAGGACGAGGAAGAGGTGGACGAAGGGAAGCTGGCTCACCTGGAGTGGGCAGGCGATGGCTCATAGGGTTGCGGTCGTCGACGTCGGAGTTCAGCAATGGCAACACCGAACTCCGACGACAGCGTGGGGTCACAGACGCACATTTTCAAATTTCAAAATAGTCCAATTTGGGTCGTCGATCTCGCAGATCTAATGACCCAGATCAGGCTGTTTTGCTTTTTGCTTTTGGAGGCCCTACTGGCCTCCAACAAATCTTTCCGTCGTCCAGTTCGTCTATCCCCGCAGTGCACCCCTCCGCCGCCCAAGTCCCTGTCGCGGACCCATCCCATTTTTTTTTAGTGATCGGACGTAGGGCCCCCGGCGAACGACCAACCGGTTGTCCGATCACGTAGTCCCGAACCGTACGGGGGGTCTCAGACGTCCGATCAAGTAACATAGTAATTTGCGGGATTTTGAAAATTAGTGTGCTTCTTTTGGTCTCTCCTACCTCTTGCCACATTTTTTACCCCATGGGGGGTAGGGAAATGTCATCGAAAATTCCAAAAAAATAAATATTATTTCTCTTTTCATATGTTGCTTACTTCTTTATTTATTTATTTTTATTATTTATTTTCTTTGATTTTTATCTTAAAAACTCACTGTTTATTTATTTTTGTTCCCCCTCCCCTCCATGGTTGCTATTTTCTTTTCTTGATTGGGTCGTCGATACTCTACCTTAGCCCCCCAAACTCCGGCTAGGGTTTTCTTAGGGTTTTCCAAAGGTTTAGGGTTCTTCTAACCCCCTCCTTTCCTCGTTCCTCCCATCGGGCACCCTGTACCCCAACGGATCCTCTCCCCTCGACCGGGTCCGTGCTACCATCTCACTTGCGGCCTGTCGACTTTGAGGCGAGCCCTCACAACTACCCACTCCTCTCTCGCGGTCCCCTCCCTCTCACTGGTGGACCTCTTTCTCCACACACCAGCCCATCTCTTTCCCCACCTCTTTCTCCACCACCCACCATGTCTTCCCCCATACGTCCACCGCCCACGGATGGGACTACACCTGAGGAGATCGACGCGGTGCCCTCCATCTCTCAGGCGCCCACCCACCCGACGATCCAGGGTCAGAACCTTGTGGACCCCATGGACCTTCGCGGTGTTCTTGCGCCCTTCCTTGCACCTTTGGAAGTGCAACTCGATGCGCTTGCACCTCTGGAGGGGCAAGTCAATGAGCTCGCCCTTGACGTTCACCGTCTCTGACTCAAGGGTTCTTCTCATCGCTCTCCCCACTGCTCTCACACTCCATCCCCTACCGGCTCACAATCCCGCTCCCCACGACTCCAGACACGGAGACTTGGTGGTTTGTCCTTCCCATGGGTCAGGCCCAACACTCCCCCTCTACAATGGTGAGTGTTGTCGCCGCTCAGACCATACCATCTTTTGCGGCACACCCATCGGCCCCTGCAGCCCCTGGAGCTTCGGCCACTACCGTAGGTACTGCTGCCCAGATACCGGTATCTGGTCATGCAATCTCATCTACTCATCCCGGTATGGCTTACCAGCTTCCCACTTCCGTCTTGACACTACGGCCCGAAGCCCTCCCTCCTCCACTCATCTCCTCACTCTCACCTCTAGATTCCCTACAATTCGTTCTTCCTCCTCTCGCTAGGGTACCCTCTCCGACCCTGCACACCCAGCGAGTGGCCACCTTGCACAACATCGTTGCGCAGCTCCGGACGGAGATTCTCACCTTGAGACAGCCTCACCTTTCATAGGCTGCTCACCCTTCTTCTTATACCGCCCCTCCCACTTCTGTCTTGCAGGCTCGTTTCCCTCGACCTGCTACTCCCCCTCTACCCTCCTACCTTGCCACTCCGGCACAACTCGCTGTGGCCGTTTCCTCCACCTTTGTTGGACCTTCCACCAGCAGCCCAAACCCATAGCCGGCCATCACTTTCACCCTTGCACCGACCCTAACTTTTGTCGCCGCATTGCAGGCCCATCAACCTCTCTCCCCCTGCCGTCAGCACAGCGGCCCCCAGCTTGTGCATGTGTCGGATATATCCGACTACGATGGTACACTTCGTGTGTCATATTGGTTGTAGGCTGCCACACGTGCACTGACTCTCACAAACAGTAGTTAGGAGTTGTGGTGCTCTATGCTCGCAACTAAATTCTGAGGCAGTGCGTTGTCCACATGGGGGAACTACTATACCCATCGTACTCGCTCGGGTGAGGTTTCCACTTTCATGGACTTCACAACGTTCCTTCATGACCGCTATAACACATTACACGACGTGATCGACACCTTAGATCAGGTCACCTAGATGCAGTGGCGCGGGTCCTCCGCACCATCCGACCTCGAGCGTCACATCCGGATGTTTCAGGATGTCCGCTTCATTTGCGATGAGGCACTCCTGCTTGAGGGTTTTTTTACCAACAGGTTCATCTTCAGTCTTCCGACTGACTACCAACCTTCGCCTTCTCAGAGCAGGCCTGCAAAGCTGCTCGACAATACCAGAAGATGCGGAGTCGCTTCTCCGACGCCCCAACTTCTTCGCAACCTGCCGCCGCCGCCGCCACCCATTCACGCGGCACTACTCGCGGTCGATCCTCTTTCGCCGGACGTTTTCGCCGACCATCTCGGCATGGAGCGCCATTCTCTCAACGCTATAGTCCTTGAGTATGGCGAGGACGACTCAGCCCAGCTTGACCCTACCTTTGGGGACGCCCCCGAGGACATCAAGCTTCAGAACGTCATTAAGTACCACTTGGATGGCGACACTGTCTTGGTGGCCGAGTGCTTGCAGCTGGTCGTGTCTGCCATGGGTTGCACAAGCTGACGCCGACACATTCGTGGTCTCTCAGACAGACCTCCTGCAGGGTTTCGTCCCTTCTTGCGGAGCTCTATGCCCTGTGGAGCGCGCCGCCCTCGAGATCGGTCGCGGTTGTCTTCGTTGCCGCCAAGATGGACACACCTCCTCACAGTATCCATACCATGCCGCCCTCAATCGACACTATGCTGACATTTCTCGTCAGTGTTGACCTCAGTCCCCCCCCGGCCCCGCCCGGCCAGCCCCATCCAGCAAGCCACGGTATGTTTTACCGTGGAGGCCTTGCATGCAACCGGCTTCCCGACCACCCAGTCGCAATTTGCCTCTTTGGCTACCCCACCAGAGAATCATCAGGACACGAGAGACGCAGTTCCCTCTGTCGCACCATCTATCAAGGTACCGTCTGTCGTACCGCAGACCGCCTCACCTAGTCCTTCCCCTCTAAGACTTCTGACACCTCGCTCCATTCGCACAACTCATTGTAGCTCTCAGTTGGCGACTCACGATGGATTTGAGCATTCTTCAGGCTCGCCAGGAGCGACTCACGAAACACGTAAACGTCATGCATCGCCTTCTCGCTTTGCTCTCTAACCCTGATCGCACGCTCCCCATTATTCCTATCCACTTCGGAACATCTATGAGGGTGTACCGCGCTTTATGGAACTCTAGCTCGTAGGGACATTTCGTTCACCCTCGCGTGGTTGAGGAAGTTTGTCAAGCTACCTCTGGGTCTCGCTCTCCTATCTCTGTTATCCTCTGAGATAAAAGGATGTGGCGCTTCTTCGATCAGACGGTCCCCGACCTCCACTTTTCTCTCACCTTCTAGCCATCGGATAGTACCCAGGCGCCTTGGCGCTACCATTCCTCTGCATACTTCAACGTGTTGGAGACTGGGTACGACTTTATCTTTGGTACTCTTTGGTCTCACCGATTTCGTGACCGAGAAGCTGAATGGATGGTCGAGATACTCGTTCTTAAAACGAAGTGTGGTCAGACCCATCGATTCCCCTTGATTGGAACCACGGGCGACACCCCTCCCGACCTACTTCCCCAGGACCCTCATTCATCTCGATCCCACGAAGACATCGCCTTCACTTCTCCTCATCAGTTTGCTCACTTCATACGATAGGAGAACGTCACGTTCTACTCAGTGAACGTCGTGGATCTTCTTCGCTATAATCCACTATGTCTCGAGGTTGAGCTCATCTTTTTGGAACCCGATCCCCCTGACCCTTCCTCCATCTTTGCAGCTCCCATGTCTACATCCACCCCTCAACTTGCGAATACCCCCTCAACATCCTAGGTCCCTATGTCGTTCACTGACGAGTCCACACATACGTCTCGTGTCGCCGCAGACATTGAGGAACTCACGTGGTTCTCGGCTAATTTAGAGTCCACCATTCGTGATCGAATTTGAGAGTACCGCGATTTTTCCCCCTCGTATTTCTCATACAGCGGGATCCCTCCGAAAGCTTGGTGTTGAGCATTCTATCCAACTCTTGCCTGACTATCGTGTCCACCATTAGGCACCCTACCGACTCTCGATTCCATAGGCGACACGACTCAAGCGTTACTTGAGGAGCTCCTTCGTTTGGGTTTCATTAAACCAGTAACTCCCCTTGGGGTGCACCCGTCCTCTTTGCTCGCAAGGCGGACATAATTTTTCATCACTGCATTGACAGCCGCGGACTTAACCGTTACAAGGTTAAGGACAGTTATCCCACTGGCATGCCTTGCGAAGATGAGCTATTTGATTGTCTGGCACACAAGCGTTTCTTCACAAAGATTGATTTTCGTAGCAGTTACCACCAGATCCGCGTGGCCGCAGAGGACCAGTCGAAGATCATCTTTTGGCCGCATTTCGGCCACTATGAGTTCGCGGTGATGCCATTCTACATCACCAACGTACCCGCCACCTTCCTGACGAAGATCAACGATATCTTTAGGGAAATCCTTGAAGAATACGTTTTCGTATACCTGGAGACATCCTGGTCTACAATCGTACCTCAAAAGACCATCTAAGACACCTCCGCGATGTCTGACAGCGCTTAAGCAAGCATGGCTTCTATGCCAAGCTCAGTAAGTGTCTCTTTGCCCAACACAAAGTGGACTTCCTAGGACACCATATGTCTGTCAGGAGTCTTCACATGGACGACGCGAAGATCACTGCTATTGAGGAGTGGTCCGTCCCCACATCAGTCAAGCAGCTTCGCAATTTCCTAGGCCTCACTAGTTAGTATAGTAATTTCATCCATGGATATGCCAGGTATTCCTACGTCCTTACCTCCACCCTTCTCCGGAAAACCCGCTGTGGTTTTGGACACCTCGCAGCGAGGACGTCTTTTACGCCCTAAAAAAGGCGGTGACTTGTGTGCCGGTTCTTTGCCTCCCTGATTTTGACCGTCCCTTCAGCGTCACCACTAATGTGTCAGATTTTGCAGTAGGAGTTGTAC